GCACTCAATCCATCTCTCCCACCCAGTCAGTTTGATGGTGAGTATGATTTGATATATGAGTTGCATGAGATGGAGCAGTGGGTGCTTGACGCTGACTTCTCAGACTAGCAGCTACATGGGTTCCATGGGAAGGGCAGATAGGCCTTGTGCATGCATTCTGCATGTGCCGGTTGCCTGTTTGGTGTGTGCTGTGGACAGAGAAGATGCCTGGTTGCGCCGGAAGGTAGCGCCGGGCTTAGGGACAGGTGTCTCGTCAAACCCTTAACCGACCTACCGACGGCTTTGTGGTCTTTCATCCCGGCCCTTGTGCAAGGTGAGTTGGGCAGACGGAGGAAGGGCTTTCGGTTCATGACGGCCGAAGATGCCTGTTGGCTTTGGCGGGTGAAAGTTTCAAGTTGGACCTACTTTACTGGAGCTTCTCTTTGTGTCTCGAATGGCCGAAGGTAGGCTGGGTCCCGTCTGCGAAATGTTGTCTGGGGTAGACGGATCTCTGAAAGGCGGACCCCACGGATCCGGAATCTTCCTTGCCTGAGCCTTGCCGCTGATCCGAAGGCCTCGGGTATCTCCCTGGGGGGATGCAGCCGGTGGCTGTTGTAAGTGCTACGTATGTGCCCGTGGGGAGAAGAGACGCCTGGCTGACGGCAATATTTTGAAAGGGCTGCAAGGATCGCCCTCGAGAGCGCTTTCAGGCAGTGTGCCTGGTGTGCTGCTGCAGTAAGCGATCTGCTGGAGGATGCACGGTTGGCGGCATTGTCATTCATTGTTGAAGTTGCTGTGTGCCGAACACACACCGTGGTCAGAAGGATCAGACGGAGCCCTCGAATCTCGCCTTAATTTCGCCCTCACGCCAACAGCATCACACAGAGGTCCGCGTCAGAGTCCACATCATCAAGAGCACGGCAAAGAACAGACAGAGTCCGGGCTATATACAACCGGGAAAACCCTGCTGGTGACGGGCACGCTATCGTCTCCCAGCGCCAGGGTGGAGATGGCAGGCACATCTCCCTCCGCTTCAGCAGCACTGCTCTACTCGTACGCTACTGTGCGGCGACAGGCACGTCCTCTCTCATCAGTGGCTCACCAGCAAAGAACTGCGCAAGCAGAGGCAGCGAGGGGCGAGAGGAACAACAGCAAAGAAAAGCCAGGCAGCATCGCAGAGCGTTGGGCAACGGTCACACAAAACAACGCACACAAAGCTCGCCAGCTCAACATTCATGACTGATCCTCGATTTTGTTCGTGCCGACTGATGCCGCATGGATGTCATTTCTCGGCCGATGTTTGTTCATTCATGGATGTTCTTACCAATCCACGTGCCATAAACTCGGCGAGCATCCGTCTATTGCCCTCCCCCCCCCCCCCCCCCCAAATGGGG